CCGAGCTCCACCACCGCGCAGCCCAGCGCCTCGCCCCTGAAGTAGGGCGCGGCCAGGTCCTCAAAGCTCATCATGGGCACCTTCACTGACCGCCCCTTACTCACGTAGAACTTGGACTGGAAAGTATCGTGGGGGTCAAAGGGCGTCTCCCACTTGGCTGGAGGCAGAGGAACCGTGGGAGAATTCTGTGAACGCGAGGGCGGCCCTGTCTCCATCCCTCCCCTCGTCCGGCTCCCTGGGCCGTGCAGACACTCCGCACCCCCACAGCCCATCCACAGCTCCTCCTAGGAATGACCTGGCCTCGGTTTGCAAGAACACCTTGGCCGATGGGGAAGCCCCACAGGCAAGGATCAGAAAAAGGGCTGTGAATCCCAGACCTGGTTAATTGTGCTCAGTGAGATACCCACAGGAATCTGGGCACAGGAAATGGGAGAGGGAGGTGGGGGCTAGGGAAAGAGGGGAGAGGCATGGTGGTGCGGTGGAAGCCTGGGCCTGGGAAGAAATGGGAACCCCCTGACTGCTTAAAAGATGTAACCGATTGTCCATCACTGGCATTGCGGGGTGGGCACACACCCGGAGCATGTGAAACAGGCTGAAGCATTGGCCAAATGGGAACCCAGAGGGCAGGGCAAGGGTCAACTGAGGACATGGACTCGGGAACCCCCAGCCCCCCAGGAAGACTAAGCACTCAGGGTGGTGGGGGGACTTCCTGGGGAGATCGTCCCCCAAATTAGAGACCCGGGGCTTCCTTGGTAATGTGTCACCACCTCCAGTGGGACTCTGTTTTCCACCCCTGCCTGTCCCCATGTCCCTGTTGTTAGAGGCAGGAGAGGAGTGGGAAGCTGGACTGGCTGGCGTGTCCTTGAGTAGGAGAATTTGGAGGGGAGAGTCCCAGGATAGGGCAGGGTGGCAGGAAGGAAAGCTCAGGAGACTCAAAGACCAGACACAGCGGTCAGGCCTGGGTTCCTTTCGCAGAGGAATTGGGCTCCCTGTCTTCACTTGCAGATGGAAAGAGGCCCAGGAGGGCTGGCCAGGCCTCAGCCAGGAGTCCCCAGCGCAGGGCTCTCTGTGTGTCTCCACACAGCTCGTGTGTCTCAGGTACTTTACCACCCTCTGACCCAATGATCACCGTGTCCCTATCTACTTTTGTCCCCATTTGGACTGCTGGCTTTATAAGATGGAGTCTACCTGTTTGCATTCTATCCCCTTGATACAGGATGAGGTTTGCTTTTATTGTGTTTCTGTCTATGGGACCAGGCATTGGACCAACTGGGAAGGGGTCTTATCTTGGATATCGCCCTGCCCCAAGGCTCTTCCCAGGTGGTGGACCATTTTCAACGTCAAGATTATAGAAGAGCACAGTCACAGAACTGGGGATGGCCAGGCTTCTTAGAGGCGGTCTTCCTGTGAAGATGGCCATCAGTCCTGCAGGTCGCCCCCACCACTCCTGAGACCAAGGCACTGGCTGGGCTGGGACAGAGCCCAGGTCAGCGGTGTGCACCAGCAGCAGGCCAGCCTGAGCACATCCAAAGCATCCCTTCAGGGAGGAAGCTCAAGTTCCCAGCCCCGACTCCCCACCCCCTGAGTGATTTGGAAGCACAGCTCCTTCCTTCTGGGAGCTGAGCAGGTTCAAGTCAGAATAAAAAGTACCACTCTGGCTCAGACTAAGAGATAACAGGCTCCTCTGGAGTTATGTCCTGGAACGACACACTTCTTTGGAAAACCCCAAGAGAAGATGATGCCTA